TTTATGGCAAAGTGGATATTCTTCTTCGATGTGGATGAGTTCATCTATGTGCCTCCCAAGAGCACCATTCGTTCGGTGCTCGACTCCCTTTCCGAGTATTCTCAGTTCACTATTGAACAGATGCCTATGAGCAGCAAGCTTTGCCACACTGTTGATGCTGCTAAACGTAACAGGTATACATTCACTATTATTTTATACTATTTATTTGACAAATTCTGTTCAACAGGAGGCATTTCAATCTCGTGATTTTCCTTTTCTTTTCATTTGTTCTCTAATTGCTGAAAAAGTTTCAACTTAATGCCAATTCTATTAGGAAAAAGAATAATTGAGTCATACATCTTGGTGATTAAAATCAATATAAGAAAAGGATAGGATTTGGTTAATCCTTGAAATACCAAACCATTAACTGCTTACATTAGTGTTTCTAACATAGATATGGAAAAATCAAGACTTCTCTGTTTGTTAATTTCTCTGATTAATAGTCTGAGATTATGCATATATCCTAATTAATCTTGTGGTGGTTGAGTGATTGCAACATTTTACAACTGATGTTGAAAATTAGAACTAAAATCTTTTTTTTTTAACCTGGTTGGAGTTTTCTTACCCTGCGATGGTACTTTGATTCTTCTTTCTCCTGATTGTATTAGAGCAGGTGGAATTGGAGTGGGTTCCAAACTTGTTCTAAAGTGATTGTTTTGTATTCTTTGATTAGGACCTTTTCTTTTGTTTAAATACTATATTACCAATGTCGGTTCAAAAGTTACTTTATTTTAGGGAAGAGTCCAATTAAATCTTCAATTTCTGATGTTCTCTTCTCGAATAAGACATCCTGGGATCTTAGCCATCGAACTTTTGTAAATTGTGGTGAAGAAAACTTGTCAGTGTAATGAAACCAACTTGGAAATGAACAACGAAATTCAGACAGTTGTAAATATTCAATTATATATGTTGATGCTGACACGAGATTAAGACAGCTGCTGGTATTGGCTCAAATATAAAATGTCTCAGATTGAGGCTGAGTTGTTGGGACTATGTGAGATAGCTTGGAACTAGTTTCGTATCTGTTGTAATCTATATTTCAAGAGTCATAATTATGGAGAGATTTCATTTAGCTGGTTTTCCATGCCCCCGTTTTAGATGGGTTTGAAATTGGTTGCAGATTGATGGCTTTCGAATGGATTATAGATGGCTATTTGTCAATTTCGGTGAATGTGGTGGAAATAACAGTAAAGTCAACAAATAAACAAACTCTTAAAATTGATGGATTCCCATAATTTGCTGCTGCTACTAGTTATATCTGACAATGGGAATCCAAATGCTACTTCTGCATCTTGTTTATTAGAATGCAACTCTGGTTTTCATCCTCAACAGTTTGCATGTTGTGATATAAGCATAGACAGACAGGCAGTATTGATGTTGTTGAATGTAATCTTATTTGTCCATTTTTATAAATACAATTTTCAGGAAATGGGGTTTTGAGAAGCTTGTGTATAGAGATGTGAAAAAGGGAATAAGGAGGGACCGCAAGTACGCAATTCAACCACGCAATGTGTTTGCCACCGGAGTTCACATGTCACAGAACCTAGCGGGCAAGACGACCCACAAGACTGAGGGCAGGATCAAGTACTTCCATTATCATGGAACCATTGCAGAAAGGCGTGAGCCATGCAGATACCTGAATAACTCCACGGAGATCAACTATGAGAAAACCCCTTATGTTTTGGACACCACCTTGAGGGATGTTGCTGGGGCTGTCAAGAAATTTGAGCTCAAAATGATTGGACCTAGGTTACAAAACACTCGCCAATAGTTACATTAGTTTTGCCTTGGGTTCTTTTTCTTTTTTTTTTTGTTTCTCTCTTTTATTTTCACTTTGTGGTTATTTAATTGCATGGATGGGTAGAAGAGAGGAATTTATTGGGTTGTGGGGTTTCTGTTTTTTGTATGATAGATTTCTAAAAGTATATAGGTACAGGCAGTGTATGATGAGCATGCTTTAGGAAAAAGGAGGGAGAGAGAGAGAGAATTGCATTCTTTATTTTTATTGTATTCAAATCGATATCTTGACAATGTTATGCTTTTATAAAAAAACAAAAAGAAAGTAAGAATAATTTGGTTGATTAGCTGTGGCCGATTGGGATAGAGGGTGCGCTCGAAGTGGGGGCCAACAGCAGTGGGAGGCTGCCAATGTTCTTGGCTTGCTTTTTGGTTATTCTAACTAGAAATATCGTGTGTATTTTTGAGGGGAAAGCTGATGGTTTTGGTATGGAATCCGGTGTTGGACTACAGTAGCATGTGCGTGTTAATCATAGTAAGGAAGGTGATTGGCGGTTGGACATCTTGTCATCTTTGGACAAGTCAAAAAGGGCCCCCAGCCATCTCATCATCTAACCAACCCCACACCGAAAAAAGAATGAATCTAACCAGACCATAGAGGAGATTTGAAGATAAACGATCTGAGTGTACTGTTACGTCCACATTAACATTACTTTGTGGAGTAGTATTCATTTTGATTTGTTAATTTTATGACTTTGTTTCATAAAAGAAATCTTATAGATAAAATGTCACATCAAGATATAAGTAAAAAGTAGTGTAAATCGTTAACATTGGGCTTATGGCTCGGGTAGATTTGGATTGTCAATACAAGGAATAAAAAGAGAGCTGGCCCGCAACAGTGCCAAGTATGAAGCAAAAAAGCTAAAGCAATTGAATGGTAAGTAAATGTTCCTTTAACGAGCGATTGTAAAATACAGGCAGCATTAAAAACGATAGGCCGAGGCCTGGTGGGCTGATATAGATATTTAGTATTATTATTCAACGGTCAAAATTAATAAGATGGGTTGCCTTGCCTGTCTTTGTGGTCCCTTCCCTCTCAAAGTCTCACTCACGTGTTTGTTTCTACGTTTTCATTTCAACTCTGCAATTTCGTGTTTCTCGAAATAAATAATACGCTACTCTTCTAACCAAACGGAATGTTATTGCCCACATTTTGCACAGCATTTTCTTAGCCTCTGAGTTTAAGATTAATTATTCGCGAGTGACTAAGGTTATATCAAAGCAGATGAGCTACTGTTTTAAGTAGTGACTAGTGAAAGTAATGAATACTACATATTGGGAAGCAAATATGTACCATGTAATAATGTAGGGGTGGTGTAGAAAGCCTAACATGGCAAGATGATTAATGGGATACCCTGCTTGTTGCTCTTGTTGGGAACTGTTCTTGTATCCTTTTCAACATGCAAGAGCCGCGGAAATAGGTGAATGAGCATCACTGATACTATTTCCTATAAACTTAATGGCAGCTCAAAAGTAGAGATTCATGGTTAACTCAATCCTCGTTCCGATGATCTGGCTTTTCGGTAGATTAGGCCCAGGGTCTGCATTCAAACTTTTCCACGGAAACCGTCCTCCACGTCACATTGTCCATCACCACTGCTGCTTCCTATCTGGGTCTCAAGATTTTGCCTTACCAAACCTTGGCAGAAGAAGGCAAATGCCGCTGCATTAGAACTCACCTTCATTACTGCCCATCTTTTTACCACTTGTGATGACCATCATGGCTAGCATGAGCATTGGAGAAGTAGCCAAAGATCAAATTCATATAGCGGTGCTTGTGCTCTTCACCACTAGATTTACTTCAAGGAAACAGGTTGTTTTTTGGCAGAGTTTGACGATTGTTCCAGAGATGAGTGCTTATGGACTTGATTGTTAATCTGCCTAGAAGATGCTTGATTTTCGTTTTTCCACCTCTTCCTTGACAGAATTGAGCCATACCTAGGAGAAGAGGTGCATAGTTTTGGAGGCTACATCTCAAATTTGGTTTTGCGGGTAGGCGGAAGAGGTACAGTAGTGTCAACCGCAGATGTAATGGACATGGTATTAAATCATCTTGAAGCTTGTTTCTTCAATTTTATTGAATCCACGGATATTTGTTTTTACTTTTGCAGGCCTTCCTTTTTCTCCACGAGGGTAGTTCCATTAACTCAAACTCATGCCAGAACAGAAGTGCAAACTTAAGCTGACAGAGAGGAATGGCTTTTTCGTGTTTGAGATTTGGCATATGGTGAACAAAGCCTCATCGCCCCATCCAAAGAGGCTTTGCAATATTCACTTCTTCCTCAGATGTTCTAGTGGCTGTTGGTGCATCATGTAACAATTCAACATAGGATAGGTAATAAAGTGAACACCATTTAAATGGAGGTTATACATTTAAGTTACAAGGCAAGTCCCAAAATTTCTACTGGAGAGAATTATAAAATAATATTAACACTACAGATATACCAATGATAAGTGGAAAAGCTGTGACCAAGTACAGTGCCCCAAAACCCTGTAAAAGAATCAGCCTCTTAGAAAATGCAGAAAATTTTTTTTGAAGTAAATGCTAGATTGACTTATGCATCCATCACAAGAAATACTTTGAGATTCAGACCCTAATTCAAACCAAAAAAAAACGCCCACAGTAACCTCCTTATAAATTAAATATATCAATGCAGAACGAAAAAGAAAAGAGAAACACTAAAGTAAATACTAAGAAGACAATAATATACGGGTTTTAGAACATATTCTCTGTGTCCGCTGATGTAGGAAGAAAAAATCCACGTCAATGATCTGAGACAATATTGCAGTTTAGCTCTTCCTCCCAACAAATTCTCTTATCTTAATTATATCACCTAGGCATTTTATGCATACCTCACTATGAAAATGATAGTACAACATACATATGTTAAATGATCCTTTTTTATCTGAATCATAGGCCAATTCACAATTAAAAGGAAAAAAAAAAAACAACACATTTTGCCTGTGAGGTATCAACACCTTTCATGTGGCGCATTGATACCTCTAATGCATTTCAATAAGCAGCATGCAAGCAATTAGGTATTTGCACCCCCAATTGCCTGGGAGAAGAAAACGCTACAATGCATGCCACACTTACATCAAAATGCACTTTTATGAGCAATCATATATTGCAAAAGGCAAATTAAGCAGGCATAGCGGTTGTGCAACTCTGAAAGAATTGTATAACCATAGACCCAAGGTGTGGAATTAAATCATCTCAGTCCATTGACCATTTTTATTATAATTTGACTGACTCCCCAAATTCAGTACATCCCAGTCTTAGTGACTTCTAAAGCTGTTATTTAAGCACTAGTGCCTCAAAAAGGCAAGCCTCATTGCAAACAGCCAACCTTTCAAAATAGAAAGGCTAAAGAAACTGATAATAGACTGCCAGTAAAGAAAATACTTGTTAGAATATTAAAAACAGAGATAAGAAAACGAACCACTGCAGGCGGCACTTCTGTTTCATTATCAACATCTGCATCTTCGATCTCAGCAGCGGAATCCCAATCAATATTCAGTCTCTTGGAAGCCTCTTTAGGATCAATGCCAGTGTCTGTGGCCTTTGCATATAGGGATTTGCCACGTTTTTTCTTTGGTGCTTCTTCCTATCATTAAAGACAGCAAGCATTCTCAAATTTCAATCTAAAGAAGAATATCTCCTAAAAATTGTTTGCACAGCAGAAATGGGACTAATATAAGTAATCTCATTGGGATATATTGCTCGTGGAAGGTTAAATATCATATAACAGAATTTGGTCCGGGAACTCAAGAAGCTGAGAAAGATCACGCAACCACAAAGTAAAGGAACTTGAACCTATAAGAAGATTTCCATCATGAAACGAAGTTCTCCTTTGGTTTCTGAAGATTCCTGATTTAGTGTTAAGAAAAATTGAATCATTTCAAACTACTACTAATAACCATGCTGGAATAACCAAAGCCATGCCGCTTAGAAGCCACATAATGAGTTATTTGTATAAAGGTGAAAATAATCTAATTTCACGGGATACAGAATATATATGAAATTTGGAGATGGCTAAAACAACAGAGTATAGATAAAACCTGAACTGATTAATAAAAGGAAGTGAACCTGGTCAATATAATCTTCAACTAGAAAACAGAAACTAAAGAGTATGGATAGACTAAGTAATGAAAATATACCTCTAAATTAGGCCAGTTGATCATTTCCTTAGCTAGCATCCTGAGAGCGGCACGATTTGTGGGGATCTTCCCTTCATTGATCTGGTAAAATAGAGAAACAAACAGCAATTGGAACAGTTTCCTTAGATTAGGTTTTTCACAGAATCTGTTGACAAATTCTTTATGCAGTGTTTGAAAAGGATGGTAATATTTTAAGCACAAGTAATGGTGCCTTTATACTGATAAGAGCATGTTACATTTATAGATAGTGCTTGTATATTGTTTACGGGATGTAAAGCATACAACTACAGAAGTTGAAGGCAGGCGGGGAAAGGGAACTGACTTGTTCCAGGGCGTCAACAAGATCATCCCTGGTAGGGGCATCAGGATCTTCAATGCCGAGCAATCTTCTTCTCTCAACTTCTCTAGGGTCCTCTATCATTACAGTCAGTTTAACCTATATATACAAAAAGGAACTAGTAAATGGAAGGAAAGAATAAGAGTAAGAAATTAAATCAGTAGTACCAACACATACCTCGCTGAATAACATGTCCCTGTTTTTCCTGAGAAGTTCCAAAACCTGGTAAGTAGTAATAAACAGAATGATTACAGTGATATATTAACAGGGAGTGCAATTCTACTATACTAGTAATATTGAGAAATTTGAACAAATAAAACAAGACATCATCGAAGGAATGGAATTGTCTTACTTTTTGGATTTGGCGAACGCCTTGAAGGTCCTCCTCTTCTTCCTGTTGGGTAGTTGCAGATGATGAAGCAACATCATCTTCATCAACGCCCACTTTTTGGGTGTCTTCTTTACCGACCCCGACAACAACCACAGTTCCAACTCCATTCCTCCTCCTCCTCCTTGGGAGACTCCTCAAACTGCAAACTTGGTTCAAATTGAGATTCACAGCCAATGGTTTGCATGTGGATAAGGTTCTAGGTGCAGGTGGAGATGAAGATGAAGAAGTCGATGCAAATGGCACTTGGGCTGCTTGCAAGGTCCCCATCTACCTCAACCACCAGTTAATGTTCTTCCGGTGGCACTTGGCACTCGACAGCCGCTAACAAACTTCACCCTTTTTCTCCCCTTGGCTCTGGGATTCTGATTTAGTTTTTCTCTGAACCTGGCTACTAGTGCGTAGCAGCAGTATGAAGCTATCAGCGCCTTGCGAGCTGGGCCTTGACCCCTCAGGCTACATTGTCTTAAACAATAGGCTCAAATTGATATTAGCACCCTGAAATCAGCCCACTCGCTCTTTCACTTTTAAGTTTTGGGCTTTTAGATTCGGTTTTGAAATTCTCATTGGCAAGTCAAATCCACGCCAACGCACCAACGAGTGTTTTCTGTTGGGTTGTAGTTGTAGACCGTGGCTGAGGCTGCCCAGCACTTGACTGTCAGTCCCTTGGCAGCACATCAAGCATGCCAATTTAAATGCATTTATATATATATATATATATATATATTAGTACAAGGAATGGTTGCAACTGCATTCATTTTTTTCAAGGCTAACAACGTGTCTGTCCTCAAATGAAAATTAATTCAACCATATGTGTATCTGAAGCTTCAAGCATCCAAATTATGTAGTTTTGGATTATATTCTTATTGGTAATCACTATATTTATAGGTTATAATAATTAAATCTAATTAATCTTTTTCTCTAGATGATTTTAAGGATGAGCTCTCTTACATTAACATAATACATTCAAGATTTTATTCTTAAAATAATTTTTACAAATATATATATAACTGATCTTTCTCTAATTATCCCTGGATTAATAATTCATAAAGATAGTCATTATTAATTTATAGATTTTAGTCTTTCCCTACCCTAATTAGCATGATTAATTAATGTCACTTTCAAATTGACCCTGCTAGCTAGCACTTGGGTTCAGCAGTCAATTTATAATAGATTTGTGCTTGACTTGGGACGCCTTGAAGATAAACTCACCTTTCTCATAATTAAAAAAGAAAAAAAATACCCTCATGCACCCTGTGATCTTCAATTAATCATTCATTCCCGATGGTGAAAAGGAAAGAGTAGTCATGAATTAATAAAAACATATGCGATCGACGTATGTGCCACTATCTAAAAGATAGAAAGACAGATATATAATTATTTAATTGGCTGTACATGATAAATATGTAATTAATTTGAATATATATATATATATGCATCAAAAAGAGAAGGGATGAAAATCCAGCGCTGGATAGAATCCGGTTAGTACAGGAGGTGTACAGAAAAGGAAAATGGACAGAGTCAAAAGAATAATTCCTTGTCGCCATTTTACTAAGTTGGAATCATAACGCTTTTGGCAAAGACATGCAACTCCCAAACTCTTGCCCAGCCCAGGAGGAAAGTGAAAACAAAACAAAAAAAAAAAGAAGAAAAGAAACAGCAGGCGAAAATAGGGGGAGCAAGGGCATGAAAGAATATCTGACAAAAGAAAAGACGAAATATAGTGGCCTGGCCTTGGGCCTTTGGCACCACAAACACAAAAAGAAGCAGTTGGTGTCTGGGGCTTCTGCGGGACGAATTTGATCCATCTCTAGCTGTAGTGCCTGCCCTGCCGTCCTTTTTCTTTTTCTTCACCAATCCCGCTTTTATTTATTCATGCAGATGCAATCCTTAACTCTTTTTAATCTTTACGAGTGCGGACAGGACACTAAAGTGAGATCGACTCTCTTCCTCCCCAACGTGTCATTTCTCATTTCGCCCGCCCCATGCTCCTCATTACTGTTTGAATATCTACGTACTTTCCTTTCCATCAAATAATATCTGCAAATCTCTTCTTCTGAATCACTGATCTTGCGTTAAGTATAACCTGCCTATATGCTGATCTTTTTCTTCACAGGTTATGAAATTTTCATAATTATTACTTTTCAGTTTTTTAATTTTTTTGCTCTCTAACATCACTGGATAACTATGATCCAACTCCAACTTTTCATTTAACTGGCTGGTCACATCCGTATGTTATCACGCTTGTCTTTAAGTCAAAAGTTCATACAGCATCTTAGAATATTTTGACACTATTTTACAACGGAAACAAGAAAATATCTTGTCAAGGAATTCATTTTGAAGTTACATATTTAGAATTTGCATGTTTTATTATTCACTTAAGTAATTGATTTCTTGATGCTAAATTTGACTATATATGTATCTATGTATGATTTGATAACATGTGTTTATACATATACATGCATTACAAAATCCCTACAAAAAAAAAAAAACACCCTAATAGTAAGCCATAAACATATAT